CACATCCCGGTTTTTTCTTATTCTAACTCCACTTCTGGAGAGTGGCAGTGCCAGTATTGGGCTTGTTGAATTTGGTGGTTGGACAGATGTCCAGGGCGAGGCAGCAGCTGGGGGCCTGACCTGGAACACTGAGTGCCCGGTGCGCAGACCTAAGACGAGACTGAGGATCAGCACAAATACCGAAGGTGAAACCAAGGCCTGACGTGGGACTTTGGCAATCTGAGGTCCCAGGAGTGAGCCCAACATATGGAGAAACGACGCGAGCAGGGGAAAGTGTGCCAAAGCAGAGGAGATTGAGCCCTTTTAGGAAGTGCAGTCACAGCATGGCTAAACACTTAAGAAACACTGCAATGCTTTAACTTTCCAGCTTTAGTTCTTTATCCTTTGACTTAATACTAAGAAGGACTTAATGTTTAACTTTTACCTTTTGTTCCTTATTTCTTTCTAACTTGTTCTTAAGTTTGTGTACCTAGGTACTTGTACCTAAGATGGCACCACGTGTGGCCACATTGAATGTTTTTCACTGCACTCCTGTACTTGAGTACACATGACAAAGTCTAAATATAAATCTAAATTCACAACTTTATCCCTTTTCTCTAACATTTGCATGTAATAAAAGGCAAGTGCTGCAGATGTTGGAAATCTGAAAAAAGAGCATAAAATGTTAGACAAACTCGATGGGTTTGGCAGCTTTTGTGGAGGAGGAAACCATTAATATTTTGAGTCCAAAATGACTGCTGTTCAGGACATTACATTACTTTACCGTATAATACTTTTGTCCTTAATAACTATCATTGTCGGGAGACTAAATATGCTCACCAGATCTAAACAATGTAGAATGCAACCTTATTAAATACCATTCAGATCCATGGCAACTGCCTTGTTAAACGCCAAATGTGACAGCATCCTTCGTTACTTTTGAGCATATTTCACATTTGTTAATCTCTTCCATTAGACTCTCAAATGTCAGCATTTTTAGCAGGATTTTTTAGTTTTTGACAAGTAGAATGAGCAAGTAACCTACACTGAAAAACATTAAGTCTTGTTAAGGAACTGCAACAGTATTCTGACTGGGTAATTTGCAGTTTCACTGTCTTTCCAAAAATGATGTGGTACATGGTAAGGCAATTAAGTTTAATTTGTGCCGTTTTCATAGCTTTGTTCAACATCGTTATCTCACTTGATTACACACGTCGTCCTTATTTAAGGTGGGTATACTTGCATATGTGGCAGTTCAGAAGAGGTTGTTTGCTGGGATACACACTGTTATGAGGAGATTGGGCCTGTACACATTGAAGTTTAGAAATACAGAAAGTGAACTTACTGAGAGGCATATAACATTCCAAGATAGCATCTACCCTGTCAAGCTAAGAGGATGTTTCTTCTTGAGGGGGAATCCAGAACAGGGGGCAGGGGGCACAGTCGAAAATAAGTGTTCTCCCACTTAAGACAGACTGGAAAGTGGTTCGATCAACTGTAGTCTTATTGAATGGCAGAGTAGGCTTGATCGACCAAGTGACTGACCTACTGCTCCTATCTTATGTTTTTATATTAGCTTTTAGAAAATCAGTTACTCCAATTATTTTGCAAGTGTTTGCAGTTCTTTCTTTAGTGACCTCAATGTTATCACAAAATCTAAAGCAAATAATACTTTTATATTCCTCATCTCTATGACTTCCGTCCTTGTATCATTCCTCATTACTTAGTGAATCAAGATAACATTTTAGCCAAGCCTTTCCACAAACTTGGGATCCAAGTAGAATTCAGTATTGCACAGTTACAGAAATCCATGATTAATATACTGAGCAGAGGACATCATGTTAGTCCTCAGAATTATTTCAGGATGTATCGTTTTAAGGACCCCACTTCTGCAATTCGAATTATTCCCTGCATAGTGATACCTCGAATCATAACCAAAAGATCTATTAATATTTCTTTGAGCATTCGTGAAAATATAAAATATATTGACAACGAGCAAGTTTGAGCTTGTAATAAGGGAAAAAAAAATCTTTAAGATGTTACATTCTATTTGCTGTTCTATACGTCTCAGAAACCTGAACAGTAACGACCTGTGAAGGAAAATAAGGCCCTTTGAAATGTGGATTCTAAGACAAATATAGAATTTTAAATATAAGATCATAAGATAATGAAGAGGTGCTTGAAATTGCAAGAGTGAAAATAACTCTAAAGTGACCTCTGCAGAAGAAAATTCAGAATTTTGGCTGTTTGATTTGATGGAAACTGAGCAACTATAGTGATCTCTTCTTGAGGGCAGAAAGAGGGTTTGAACTCGGCACAGCTGAATGATGAACGTAATCGTGATTACAGTCAAGTTATATTACATGTGAAGATTGCATCAGACTGACAAGCGTGACATACTATGACAACAGGTCTAATAGGAGAAGCTACAAACGAGAGTGAAAATGTTCCATTGTTCTGACTCCCAGAATCATAGAATAAAATCCCTACAGTCCAGGTAGAGGCCATTTAGCTCATCGAGTCTGGACCGGCCCTCTGAAGAGCATCCCACCCAAGATTGCGCTTGTTCTTTTTTTTTCTGGAAAATGGCTAACCTAACCCTATTATTATTTAAAAATTTCTGCTTTACCTCTTAGACTGATTAGTCTGACATCTCTTTAGAGATGTTATTAGCATATGTAATCAAGGTCAAAGTGACCTAGGCACTTACAGAAATTTGATCCGATTGGAGAGGACTGACATTGATTTGTAAAGGTCAGAGCACGACTAACTAATCTAACTGAAGTTTTTGTGTTTATAGTTGTAGGCAGGAGAAAGTCCACTGTTATAAATTATTTACACTTCTGGAACGCATTTAATAAGGGTCCATTTAACAGACTGATGCCTAAAATTTAACGATTATTGCCTATTTAGGGCTGAGTTTAAGTTAGCAGACAGAAAACAGGACAAATAATATTTGTTTGAATTGAAAATTAGTGACTCATGGTGTCCCAGAAGGATCAGTGCAGTAGATTGAAGGAAGCCTGCATAACTTGTGATCGCATTAGTCATTATTATTATTTCTCCCTTTTCTGAGAATTCAGTTTTGGTGTTAGGCAGGGATTTATACCACATTATTTCAGATGGAAGTATGTTAGAGTCCGCTGTCCTGAGTAATCTTAATTCCTTAATATTTTCATATTATACAACAACATGTTCTTAATTTAAAGCATTCTGGACTAGTGTTGGGAAAAGCGATATTATCCTGTGTTCCTTCAACATTTTGCGCTATTGATTTCTGAAACTAAAAGTGATTTTTGGAGGACGAAAATCAGACTTTTCAGTTTGACCTCATTCTGATTAATGCTCGAATTTCAATTGTTTCAGTTATTTACAAGTTTACAACCATTCCCAAAAATGTGTAAAATGGATAAAACCACACCATTTGGTATTGAATTGGGTATCGGAAACTAACTTTTGACAAAGGCTCACCAAGCCCAGTCAACTCTGTAAAGTTGTCCCCATTGTTAACATTTGGCACCCGCTACTAACCAAGTTCATGAAGTCCTGAAGAGCAGTCAAACCATATTTGTGGCGATGGTAAGAGAATCAACATGAGAGAGACTTTATTGACCTGATCTTCTCTAACCTGCATCTGGATGTAATAATATTGGCAGTGATTGCTGCACAGTCCTTTTGAAGACAAATCTTGTCTTTCCACATTTCATGCTGTGGCATGATCACTGTGCTATTGGCATGTTCACTGATGCTTGACTGGCACCAATCTGCCCCAGATCTCATTATAGTCTTGACTAATCAGGGACAAAAGAACTGAACTCCAGTGGTGATTTGACGGTGATTGACCTTGACATCAAGGTAGCATTTCATTGACTGCGGCATAAAGAGTCCCAATAAAATTGAGGTCAATGGGAATTAAGAGGGTAAACTCTCCACTAGTTGGACTCAGACCAGCAAAAAGACACTTGCTGCTACAGGTAAATCATCTCGTCCTGGTCTGTTTTTGCAGGAATTCCTCAGGGTGGTATCCTAGGTCCAAACATCTTCAGCTGCTTTAGCAATGACCTTTCCTCCATCATGTCAGAAATGAGAATATTTGTTGATTACCGAATAATTAGTTTCCTGCACGAATAGTGGAGCTGCCCATACCCATGTGCAGCAAGACCTAGACAACGTGCAAACTTGGCTGATATGTGGCAAGTAATTTGTGCAACATAAGTGACGGGCAGTGACCATTTCCAACAAGAGGGAAGTCAGATCACCTCCCTGTGACATTCCCAGATATGATCATTTTAACCTCACTATCAACATCCCAAATGTCACCATTGTGCGTCAGCTATGTAAATACATTGGCAACAAGTGCTGGTCTGAGGCTGGGAATCCTGCAGTAAGTAATTCACCATCTGATCACCTAAACCTGCACATTGTTTACATGGCATAAGTCAGGAGAATATTAGAGTACTTGGCTCTTAACCTGGATGATTTGAGCCCAGCAATACTGAAGAAGCCCAATACCATCTAAAACAGTTTGCCTGTTCGATCAATGTTTACTCCTTTCACTGCAGCCATACATTGGCCACATTTATGTATCATTTTCAAGATGCTGTGCACCCACTTGTCAAGGCTTCTTTGACAGTTCTTCCCAAGTCCTGGGACCTCATTACCTCGAAGGAGGGTAGAAGGCACATGGGAATTCCACCAAATCCATTTTCCACTCCAAACTGTACACATCCTGACTTGGAAGTGTATCAGCTATTCCTTCTTTGTTGCTGAGTCGAAGTGCTAACAATTTGGGAATACCTTCATGATACAGTTTTAATGTTCAAGAAGGCAGCTAACCATCACCTTCCCAAGAGCAGTTAGGATGGGTAACAAATGCTGTCCTTATCAGAGATGCCCACGTAGAATAAATAAATGAATGAAGAAGAGGTGATAAATTGTATGAAGTTGAATATATTAAAACTGCAAATATTGCCATGCAATAGTCTTCTGGAAGTTATAAATGAACTGTTGTGTTTTCCCAGACGGCTTTGCAATGTGGGCCTCATGCTGCAACTGGTTCTGTGTGGACAACCAGACCATGGATGAACCTGAACATAATCCTAGAAGGCAGGCATACACTAATGCAGGCTACAACTCTCAGTCATCTCCATCTGGATTAGGGGACACATGCAGAGCTTGCGGTTCCCGATTTGAAAATCCACTGAGAAAGGTTGGTACAAGTGTGAGTTAGAGGTTAGAATTAAATTGATCTCCTCTTACGCAGAAGTAAAGATTCATTTTCAATGAAAGTTGCAACTTGGATATAAAAATCCCTCAAAGTTAATAATATAGTGTGGTGTGAACTTTGATTTTAATCTGCGTTCAAAAAACTTTGCTGAGGCAGTAGCTAATTATATTCTCTTAATACTTGCTAACTGTATTTTGGTGACTTGTTCATTTCTTGCGCAGTCATTTTGTTAAAGGATATCCTGTTTTAAAAGGACTGGAACTTAGCGTGAATCTCCGTATTAATCTGTCAAATTTGAGCTCTACTCATAGCACATGGTTTTATTGTTGGGAATAGACCCTTGAAGTGCATTAGAAGCTGGTTCTTTTTTTCTCTTTAATAATATTAAAGATTCAGTTGGTTGATAACGCTCCTTTCTGGCTGTGACTTGTTATTGTGAATGGAATTTGGGGCAAAAATCAAATTCTTCAGAAAGGTGACTTTTCAAATAGGAATATTTCATGGTAGATCATGTAAATTGCTATCTCCATATAAAATAGAGTACGTGCTCCTAAATCTCTGTCTGTTAAGACTTGTGTTTCCATAAAGCTAATTGCTTAGTTAACATTTAGATCAATAAGGCTTTAATTGTTGCTTGACCAGGAAAACTTGCACATTGGAACTAACTGGTCAGTTTTAAGTTTCAGGTCTGTAACATTCAGCAACATGAAGCTTTTTAAAATCAGTAGCTGCATGATTTGTGTTCCCTAGGTGTATAATTTCTGATTCAGTGACAATATTAATAATAAAAAGCTTCTATTTCCGCTGAATATATTTGCTGCTTCTTGTGATCTGAATTTTTTTCATTCTTTGTCTCCTACCTATCTCTAATATGTCAATAAAATAATTTTTTGTGATTTCAATTAGTCTATTTAACATTTTTGTGTCTCCTGTGCCCTGTGTTTTGCGCCAACTTCCTCTGCAGTATGTCCTCCGCCTTTCTGTATAGTTCTCCTATTTCAAAATGTGAAATAGGAGCAATAGTTCACAATACACTCCCTTGACCATCATTAAGATTTTGGCTGATCTTCAAATTCAGATTCATTTTCCCGCCCTATCCCTATATTGATTTCCTGAGTTACCAAGAATCTATCAATCTCTCGCTTTCTTGTCATTGTTTGCAATATCCATTTCTCACTTTCTAAGGCATAGGGTGCATCAGGGGAAGCTGTCTGTAAATAATAAGTGACTGAGAGATGAGACCGAGACAAACCAATTAAATAAAATTTGAATTTGAAATTTGTAAATTCCAATTTAATATACAAAATAATATTTATAATGTAGCAGATATTCAAAAAAATTACCACATTTTGAAGAAAAGCAATGCATTTAGTTCAGCATACTGCAGCTTTTAGTTTGTACTTGTGCCTACACTTCTGGAATTCTCTTGTTTGACAACACAGAACACTTATTCTATGTCAGAGCGTGTTGTTTTTTATGTGCCTTATTTCATCTTCCACTCTTGATGGGAAATAACTGAGTTAGTAAAGGTAAATGAGCATAAGAAGTAGGAGCAAAGGTAGGCCATTCAGCCCATCGAGTCTCTTCTGTCATTCAACGAGATCAGTGATCTGATAATCCTAGATTCCACTTTCATGTCTTTTTCTCAATAACCCTTCATTCCCTTACTGATTAAAACTGTCTGTCTCAGCCTTGAACACATTTATGATCCAACCTCTACAACCCCTGCAGTAAAGAATTCCACAGATTCAGTACCATCAGAGAAGAAATCCTTACTTGTGCCCTAAATGAGTGGTGCCTTATTCTGATCCTGCACTCTCCCACAAAAGAAACAGCTTTTCCTTATCTACCTTGTCAGATTCCCTAAGAATCATATTGCCTGTCATTCTTCTAAACTCCAAAGAGTACATGCCCAAATTAGTTAGCCTGTCCTCATAAGAAAGTCCTCCATACCTGGGACCAATCCAGTGAATCTTCCCTGGACTGTCTCCAATGCCAGTATAATTTCCTTAGCGAAGGGACCAAAACTGTTCACAGTATTCCAAGTGTAGTCTGACTAGTGCCTTGTATAGTTTTAGCAAGACCTCCTCATTTTTGTATGCCATTCCCTTTGAAATAAAGGCTAAGATTCCATTTGCCTTCCTGCAGCTTTCTGCAGCCTTTCTCCATTTAAATCTTATTCACCTGTTCTGTTCTTGCTGCCAAAGTGCATAATTTCACATTTTCCCATGTTATAGTCCATCTGCCAGGCTTTACCCACTTTCTTAATCTACCTATAACCCTTTGCAGACTCTATCATCCTTACCACTTGCCTTCCCACCTATTTGCATTTGCAGACTTGGCTACAGTGAATTTACTTTCCTCATCCAAGTCATTAACATATATTTTAAAAAATTGTGGCACAAGCAGTTGTGATCCCTGTGGCACCCCAATAGTTACGGGTTGCCATCCTGAAAATTCCCCCTTATCCCAACTCCCTACCTTTTTATTAGTTAGCCAGTCATCTATCCATGCTAATATGCATGTCTCCAACACCATGTGACTGCCGCTTTCCCTGACGTCAACAACCACGTGATTGCTGTTTCTGCCGTCGTCGAAGACCACGTGACTACTGACGTCAGTGACGATTGTGTTACTTCTGCTTCTGCGCACACCCACTCCTGATGAAATCTCCATCTCCACCCCGACTCCTGGCCCCAGGTTTACACCCAGCCCCAGCCTCCAGCCTTGCTGGATATTCACCAATCCCCTGGACCTCCCCCTCAGAGGCTGAACAGTCAGTCCTCAACAAAGGGCTCACCTTCATTCCCCTGCGCCCACACATGAACAGATTCTGCACAGTCATGATTGTCAAGCTCTTTTTCTGCCGCCTCCGCCTCCGCCTCCACCTCCACGCTATTTCTTTCAGCGGGAATCCAACCCACCCTCTAATGACCCCTTCTCCCACCTCCAGCAAACTCCATCCTCCTGGACACCCCCTCCCGGCCTCCTACCCTCCCTCGACCTCTTCATCTCAAACTGCCGATGCGACATTAATCGTTTGGATCTCTCCACCCCTCTCACTTATTCCAACCTGTCCCCACTGGAATGCGCAGCCCTCTGCTCCCTTCATTCCAACCCCAACCTCACTATTAAACCTGCTGACAAGGGGTGTACAGTGGTAGTATGACATACTGACCTCTACATCGCTGACGCATACTTTAGGGACTGTAATTTCCCCTCCTCTGTAATTAAGGATGCCCTCAACCACATCTCCTCCACCCCCCTCACTGCTGCCTTTAAGCCCCTCCCCTCAACAACAATAAGGATAGAGTCCCCTTAATCCTCAAATACCGCCTCACTAACCTCCAAATCCAATGTATCATCATCCGACATTTCAGCCATCTCCAATCGGACCCCACCACAAAAGATATTTCCCTCCCCACCCCTGTCAACTTTCCACAGGGACCATTCATTCCGCAACTCCCTTGTCAGCTCTACTCTCCCCACCAATTTCTCCACCACACCTAGTACTTTTCCCTGCAGCCCCAAGAGGTGCAACATCTGCCCCGATACCTCCCCTCTCACTTCCAACCAAGGCCCCAAACAATCCTTCCAGATCTCGCAAAGACTCGCCTGCGCTTCATCCAACCTGATCTGTTGCATTCTTTGCTCCCAATGTGGTCCCCTGTATATTGGGGAGACCAAACGCAGACTCGGCGACTGGTTTGCGGAGCACCTGTGCTCTGCACACATCAACCAACCAGACCTTCCGGTTGCCATCCATTTTAATTCCCCCTCCCACTCCGCTGATGACCTGCCCATCCTTGGCACCCTCCATTGTCAGAGTGAGGCTAAAAGTAAACTGGAGGAACAACATGATATTTCGCCTTGGGAGCTTACAGCCCAGTGGCCTCAACATTGACTTCACCAGCTTCGAAATCCCTCCA